CCCTGTTAAACATAAGAGTGGGAATAAGAGAGGGAAGAGATGTATAATTTGGGGCATGCTCGGGCTGACTTGCCCCAATTGGTAGAGTTGGAAACATACCAGGGGACTCCAATTTAATCCCATCAAGGTGGCATGTACCAATGCCATCTCACTAGTCCAAGTGATCAATTTCAGTTCACAATTGATCATAATGAAAGGACTAAGAGTCAAAGGGAGCACATAAACAAGTCTAGTACCTGCTAACACTAACCAATAGAATAAATAAAGGGGAGAGTGATCCAACATGGGAAGTGAGATACTCAGCAGACTCATAGAATGGCGGATGTCCTAAATAGCACTCTGGCCTCAGAATCAGCCCTAAAGGCACTCGGATCTGGCTGAAAAGCCCATGAGAGTATTTCAGGCATGGAAAGCCAAGACACTCTGGCAAAAAGATCTCTGTGAGTGAGATCCCAGTGGAAAGAACAGGTCTTCAAAGAGGGAGGTGCCTTTCTCTGAAGGGAGGAGAGAACCTCCACTTTGACTATGACCGTGTCTAAACAAGATAAGAGTCGGAGAACTCAGAGGGCTTCCATAGCCTTGGAAACTCATGACTGGTGCATAGGGAGATTACTGATGCCATAAACAGGAGTGTCAATTTGTAAAGTCAACAACAGGAGTCACTGTGCACTTACTCCTCATGTAGGATCTCTGTCCTTAATGTGCTGTACACTGAGGCTTAATGCTATAACGAGTACTCAAACAGTATATTTCACTTTGTGTTTCTATGGGGGTGCAAACGGGTTGAAATCTTTACTTAATGTACACTAAACTGATCTTCTGTAAATAAAAAAGAGAATTATCAATTCCCAACTTGACTCTCACTGGGATAAACATGACATAGGTCTGATCTGATTTCATCATCATCCAAAAAAAATCGTCTATTATTTTCACTTTAGGTTTCTGTGTGGAGCAAGCTGTAGAAATCCTTACTTAAGGTATACTAAGCTGATCTTCTGTATATTAAGATAATCGAAAATGAATCTTGATGTGAATGGAAGGGGAGAGGGAGTGGGAAAGGGGAGGGTTGTGGGTGGGAGGGACGGTATGGGGGGGAAGCCATTGTATTCCATGAGTCGTACTTTGGAAATTTATATTCATTAAATAAAAGATAAAAAAAAAAACCAGTGAAAGGACCTTTAACTATGAAGAAGAAAGGCAAAGAAGCCTTTGAGAAATCCGTCACCAGGTCTTTGATTGGGTCGGATCTTCAAGTCAAAATTCTTCACACAATTTTTACAAAAGTTTCTTTCAGAGGCAAAGGTAGACAGACATGCACACAGAGCAAAAGAGAGGCAGAGTAACAGAGAGAGAATTTCCCTCTGTTGGTTCACTCCCCAAATACCCACAGCAGCCAGGACTGGGCTAGGGATGAAACCAGGATCCTGGAATTCAAACTCAATCAAGGTCTCCTACACGGGTATCAGGGGCCAAATTACTTGAGCTCTGTCTTTGGAGGTTTGAATCAGTGGAAAGTTGGAGTCAGGAGTGGGAACTATGTCTCGAACCCTTGCACTTTGATATGGGACACAGGCATCTCAACCGCCAGGCTGAATGTCCAGTACACAAGATGTTTCCATACATTTGTCAGCAAAACAGCCAAACTAGTTGTGCATTTGAATTGAATGATTGTTGGATTATTTTGATTTCTATTTTGGGTCCCTTCAACCATCAGAGTGGATAAATTATAGGCAAGGCTAATGTCTGGAAAGAGTCATGGGGAGTTGTGCTATGCATTGCGATTAAGCAGCTTTCTGTGAATGTAATGTCCAGGCCACCTTGATAAGAAGAAAGATTCTACATGTATTCTTGTTCGGGTATCATGTTTTGACTCACAGTTCCCAATTCAGTGCTTATAAAAGAACCCAGAACCAGTTGTTTATTTTGTTAGGATTTTAACTGTGAAAAATTTTAAGATAGACAACAACTAAATGGCAGTTCCTCTGGGAGTAAATATTTTTTATTTCTTTATTTTTTATTTTTATTTTTTTGACAGGCAGAGTGGACAGTGAGAGAGACAGAGAGAAAGGTCTTCCTTTGCCGTTGGTTCACCAACTAAATGGCAGTTCCTCTGGGAGCAAATATTTTTTATTTCTTTATTTTTTATTTTTATTTTTTTGACAGGCAGAGTGGACAGTGAGAGAGACAGAGAGAAAGGTCTTCCTTTGCCGTTGGTTCACCCTCCAATGGCCACTGCGGCCAACGCGCTGCGGCCGGCACACCGTGCTGATCCCAAGCCAGGAGCCAGGTACTTCTCCTGGTCTCCCATGGGGTGCAGGGCCCAAGCACTTGGGCCGTCCTCCAGTGCACTCCCTGGCCACAGCAGAGAGCTGGCCTGGAAGAGGGGCAACCAGGACAGAATCCAGCGCCCTGACCGGGACTAGAACCCGGTGTGCCGGCGCCGCTAGGCGGAGGATTAGCCTAGTGAGCCGCGGCACCGGACTGGGAGTAAATATTTAATACATGCCCTCTGTGCAAATAAAACCTGTGAATTTCTATGCTCATACTTGTTGCCAATTCTCAGAGAAGTCCTGTATAATTCAGACAAGTTTGTGATAAAACACAAACTAAAATCATTCTCATATGCATTCAGTTTTCTGTCTTGTTCCAGTAGAACCATCACGGCCTCCTTTGTGTGACTGGGCAAGTTAATTAATCTCACTGTGTCTCATTTTATTCACTATGAAAGGGACATTATTATTCCTATATCATAGAGAGCCTAGAAGTACGTAAAGATAATAAAGTTCCTCATTAGCTCATGCTTTATGGTGCTTGTAAATACTGACAACATGGCTGCTAGGAGAGGCTGCATCGCATTAGGGTTCTGGCTTCAGGTGGTAATGACTTTCTTTTTGGTCAGTAAGCTTGGCATGGCTGTCCCGTTTACTTATTCAGCCGTCTCGAACCACTCCACTCACACTAGCTTGCAGGCACCCGAGGTTCAGAGATCATTCCTGGTGTGAGATCTTTGCATTTGCTTTTTCTCTGCCTGGAAATCTGTATCTCCAGGTCTGTTCATGGCTCTCTGTCCTTTCCTGCCATCAGGTCATGGTTCACTTGTCACGGAAGAAGGCTCTCCTGGACCAGAAATCTAACGGACAGTCTTCTCTAGTCACTGTTCCCCCTTCTTGTTTCATTTCCTTCACGGCACCTGCAGATTTCTGAGTCATCTTGCTCTCTCATATGTTGTCTGTTTGAGAACAGAAATCTTGGTGTCTTGCCTTTGCATACATAACTGTCTGGCATGAGATAATTGCTCATATGTATCTTTTGAAAGAATTGGGTAATTGTGTAACTCAGTCATTATTTTTTATTTTAAAAAATCCCTAGTTCTTGTTCTTAAAGAGAAGGTGACTTTATTCAAAGTAGATGTTCTTCCTCTTGAGTCCAGTTTGTCTTGAATCTGATCTCCTTTTTGTTTCTTCACAAACTTGACCCCTCATGGGATAAAATTTCTCTTTTCTTGCTCTGCTTTGCACTTCAAGGTATATAAGAGCATGAACTTCATAAGGAGGCTACAAAAGTAGGCAGCTAATTCCTCCTGGTTACTGTGTGTCCCATTCATAAGCAAACAAAATGTATTTGGCCACATGTTTATACCAGCAAATAAATATGTCGATGGCATGGAAATCTGACTTCACTAAACCAATTGTGAATGTCTGTTCTTAGACTTAAACTTGTGACTTCATCTTTCTTGCTTTCAAGATGCAAAATATCAGTTCATCTTCAATCACTACTGTTATAAAAAGTATCTTTTAATACATGTATTTGTATTAACTAGAAGAACAAATTCAGATAAATACTGCTGTTACCTGATAAAAGTGTCTTTGGGTTCATTTAGTTTTCCAAAACATTTGGATGTTTTTCTTTCCCAATAAATTGGCTTCCCTTTACTTCCAAATAAAATTTGTTTTGATTTTGTGGATAGAATTATCCTGAAGTTCTTTGTTTTGTAGAAATCACTTTTCTTAAAAAAAATCACTTTTCTTAATAAAAATCAAAACAATCATAACAGGCTAAATTATAGTATGTTTTACATTTATATTCTGTACTCTTAGAAAAATTATCTGTTTGAGAGACAGAGAAGAGAGAGAGAGAGAATCCCCATCCAGTGGTTCACTTCCCAAATGTATCCAACTGGCCCGGGCTGAATCTGGGAGCCAGTAACTCCATTCAGGTCTCTTGTGTGAGTGGTAGGAACCCAACTTCTTGAGCCATCACCAGCATCTACATTAGCTGGAAGCTGGATTTGGGAGAGGAACATGGACTTGAATACAGGTACTCCTTTTTAGGATGTGGGCATCACAACTGGCAGCTTATCCGTTATGGCAGACACCTGTTCCTGAATGCTGTATTCTCGATCCCTTTATATGGGTTGTTTTATTTAGAAGTGTATTCTTAGAATAAATGATGTATGGGTATGTACAGTAATTATGATCAGCTGCATTAAAGAATGAATCATTTTCAACTGCTGGATTTTGACAGTCAGTGACAGTATCTAGTGTAGGATGAACACAGAGGAAGAATTTGATAAATATTTGTTAAGTGAATCTGTAGCAGGATATGCAACATTTAGCATGCTTGAGAGCATAGCATTTCAGGAATATAAAAACCAATGCAATTAGAATTTTGAAATTGTTACTTTTTCACATATATTTTCCTGATTTTACTTGTTGACATCAGTTCTCAAGACACTGAATTTTGAGGGGAGAAGGGGTGGAAAAGAAACAGAAGAGAGATACAGCGTTTTCCATACACATTTGGAATGCTCTAAATATTCTAAAGTTCCAAAAGTTTGCTATTTCAAATGCTGGATGTACTTAGGTGAGTGGCTCTATTTCAGTCTACGGGTTTTGTTTTTGAATACTGAAACTTCAAAAGGATAGCAAACAAAAAGAATTCAAAAGCACTGTAATTTAGACTGTGACAATAATTTAAAAAATACAAAAAGGGCACTGGTAGATTTTTAAAAACTATTTTAATACAAGATTAATAGCAATTTTCTATCCAAATCAGAAATGAAAAATCTTAACCCAAATAATATTCATTTGACAGTCACATAAAATTTTCGGTTTGGTGCACACATTTATCCTGCATATAAATTATGTATATGCTCACAGAGACTTCACTGTTATACCATCCCTAGGTGTCTTTTCATGGAAGCATCTCCTCACAAGACAATGTCAAGGATTCCAGTAACCACTCAACTTTGAATGAAGTTCCATTTGTCCCCACACTAAGCTGAGCCCATGTTGTCGCAAACCATGATATAGCAAGTCTCCAGAATGCGTACAAGTCAATGCTCTAATCACATAAATTGGCCTAAAACTAAACACTGGTTAATGGCTCCACCAAGGAGAAACATACTGCAAATTTATAAGTCATGATCTCCTTTACTCTTCTGTTGGCAAAGCTAAACTGTTGTCTTTTTTTTTTTTTTTTTAAATTAGAAGTCAGGTCTATTACTGACTGAAAGTAAATGAAAATGAGTTTGAATTTCTGCAGATTTTGGATGAGGCAAACTTTATACTTGCTAAACCATCTACCTTTAATCAAACCACCTGATAATTAGCCTTGCAAAGAGAAGTAATAAAAGAATCACAACTCAGGAATTTGCTAAGGTTTATTCCTCTTTGGGGACTTCAGTTGGTGTTCAGTCTGTAGCCAAAACATGTATGTAATGGCAAAAGAAATGAAGTAGGCTAATGTCTGCAGCAGGGAATATAAATGCACTCTCAGGGTTCTGCATTCAGTAATAATTTTAATGTGTTTGATTTAAAGAATGTTGCCTGTATAACTACTGCTTGTTGATGCATAGTAGCATGAACAAAACACTGTTTTCTATCCCTTACATCGAAAGCAGGAGAGACAGTTGGCTATCTGGGTAAATCACTGTAAGGGAGTCGGATTTCTAGAGCTCATGTTCAGTGATGGCTACAATCAGGACACCAAGCCAACATGGCCTTCCTTACGATAAGGTTGTCACGGTGGTTCTTCCACACAGAACCATAAACACAGCTCTTATTTTGTGAATGTGCAATTCATTCTTCTCTGCTGAAGACTTTAGCCTCTGCTTAGCTTTTGTTGTAACATATATAAAGCATCACATACACCAATTACAGACGTGTATTTCTGTTAGAAAAATACATATTGTAACTAAAGAACATGTAAATAGAGGCACTTCATTAAGCTAAGTGTTTGCAGTTCTGAACGTCACCCACCAATTTCTAGTGTCAGATTCCAGTGAGCCCATTCCTCTCTACTCATAACAGAAGTTAGGATGGGATAACAGAATTTAGGGGACGTTAGAGCAAATGAGAGCAGGCATAGAAATAACGGACCATCACTGCTTCCCCGTCACTGTGCGGAAATGAGAAAAATCAGTTTGGGTAAGGGGAGGGATGAATCCAAAATACTCACTGCAAAGGGCTAGTAGTGAGAGTAAACTAAATTCCTTAGGGACGGAAAAAACAATTCTCCTGTTAAATTAGTCTGAAAATCATCTGACAAAGTAGGATAATGATAAACACCAGGAAGTACAACTTGAATAACGTTTGACCACATCCATGCAGGGTGACTAATGTGGCACCATTTACTGATAGGCATTTCAGCTCTCTGCCTGGCTCAGATGCATCACCATATCTCACCAATAGGAATAATATTGATAATGAACGTGTTGAAAGAAATGAAGCAGGCGTTTTTATATTATATGTGTGTTTAGTGTGTACTGAACAGGGGTGCACATTCGTTAGGATAATGTGTATTCACACACATGCACAAAACTTTAGGGAAAACAAGGCATCCTGATCCATGTCATAGAAGATCCTGAAGAAATCTTTTCAGAGAAAGATTTGAAGTTTAAAGCCATAAAAACAACTTATTACTCAAATATTCTGGAAAATCAAGGTTGATTTAATTTGTATTGCACCTTAATTGTTGGAGAAAGACAATACTGATTTCTGAACATACAATGGACTGAGCATCATAAATGATTGGGCCTTCATAGACGTTTTATGTGTAACTGGTGACAGGAAGCTGAAATTTGTCAGTGAAATAGATGGTTTCCTGAAGGTACAAATGCTGAATTATATTAAATGTTAATTCTATAAAAGTTTAAATGAAAGGATGCCGGAAAGTCTCTCAGAATCCTACATTTTATATTTTGTTAGGCGTAAAGTAGCAATAGATGCTTGTAAATACTTTGTTTTGCAAAAGTGCTCAAATATACTTAATACTACTGTGCCACATGTGTTCTACTTAAATGTGATGACTAAATCAATAGCTAATTTTAATTTTGATGAGAACAGAGATCGAAAAATACCATTTACGTGTCAATACTGTCAGTGAGTTAATTAAACCGTGACTGGCATACTGTGGTGACTTGAGACAATACTTTTCCCTACTCCAGATGCATCATAAAAACCAAGAAACATGTGGACAGTCAGCTGTATTCATAAAGCCCCAGTTTGGTTTATTTTGCTTTCTCTCTGCTAGGAGAAGCATAAGGCCTAGCTTTGGCGTACTTGGGGGTGGGGTGGTGGTGGGCTTCGGGGTGGAGGGATCAGGCTGTGGCTCTACATTGGCCTCATGAGTTTAGGTCATTCATCCAAGTGCCAAGCATCAGTCTAGGCCAAAGGTGTTGCGCATGTAAGTGATGGTCTCTCGTGAGTGACATTCTGTACACGTCGTTTCCATCAGCAGTGAAGCACTGCCTGCCCATGGCTGTCCCATGAGCTCAGAACAGTCTGGAGCACCCAGGACAAAGCACGCTCATGTGGAAAGGGTGTGCCCTGGCAAACTTTTAATAAATGGACAGTTAGATACGTAAAAAGTTCTCTCTCTTGATTCTTGGTGCTCACAGATCATTGGAGGGTTCCCTTCTCCGAGCAGCACAAAACAAGAAGAGCTGGTTGACAAAACATTTTCATTACAAAGGTGTGTCAACCCTGAGCTTGGAATTAAGAAGTTAAAATCTGTGATTTTTATATATATATATAGATATAAAAATAGATGATCATACTAAGACTAAAAAAGTGAAAGAAATCTCCATGTCAGTACTAGATATATATATATATATTTTTGTTTTGACTTTTTTTTTTGTTGTGAGTTTTTTTTTGTAAGAGAATGCCCTTGTGATGCAGAAACCAATTGACACAAAGCAAATAATTAAAAATGAAAACTCACCTATGGATCTAATTGTTTATCAATTCATTAACAGATCCCTTATTCTGATAGAGTGATGAACACAGGGGTGGAAAATCTAATTAATGTCAAACCTGTGGCAAAAGCAGGGATTGTACATTGAAGTTTTTTTTCAGTTGAGATCTTTGAGGAGGTTGAATTGATGGGGATGTCCACTAGCAACTGAAGGTGAAGGGAAAAATCTGTGCCAATTGGATACAATGGACAGACATTAAGAGAATTAAGAAAAATGGTGCCATTTCTGAAATTCAAATAGGGCAGGGTGCGAGAGAGGTGCTGAGTCAGTAATTTTTGCTCTCAAAGATGTAATTCTAAATTTAATATCAGTACCTCCAAATCAATTTGGTATTACGTGGTTAGAGTGCAAGATGACACCTCCAAGACCAACAATGTATTTTCACCACTTTAAAAAAAAGTTTCCAGCTTTCTCCCCATAAGCATTTTGTAAACCTGATTTGTTACAGAAAAGCTTACACTGGGAGTTGGCTGTCAAAGCCAAACCTATAGCTTTGAAGTTCCTTTATGTTTCTTTGTTGTTAGCTTCTTTGTTGAAAATGCAGTTGTCTTGGGGTTTGGCCTGATTTTGCAAGGAAAATTAGTTTCTTCCTACCTTTTTTTTTTTTTAAATGGGAAAAAAAAAAAAAAAACCCACTCACAACGTGAGATTCCTTTACCTCTGCAGCATAAAAGCAAATGAAGGTAAGAAAACCTCCTGGTACGAAAGATTTGAGTAAGAATTCTCTCTAGGATAAACAGAGTCCCCACAGATAGCTGAAGGAAGGAGGAGGCAGCTCAGTCTGGCACCCGGTGTTCTTTGGGAAAACAAAAAGGGAGGCAGATCACAGCACTGCTCTCCTCTCATAGAAAACGGTAAGTTTTTGTGGCGTGGTCCATTGTCCAAGAGTGTAAGAAAAGAAGTGAGTTGGCCATTCAAATAGCTAAAATGCAGTTTCATCTGACCAAAAACCCAGGATTATCTGCACAGTCTCTGCAGTGCCAGGGCCAGGCAGACCAGAGACCAGGAGAGCAGGGAGTGGCCAAGCTGGGCTGCAGCTGAGTCCTCTTCTCTCCGGTCGGGATCGGCTGCAGGGGCCTCTGTGGTGACAAACTCGAATTCTGTGGGACACACATCATCCATGCACCCGCTGCCGCTCCCTGAGCCGCTGGATTCATCACCTGGAGTGGAAAGACGGGAGAAGAAGGTTAAACTGAAAATCAGGAGAGAGGCAAGGCCAAGAGCACCCTGGATCTGGGCATGGTGCTGGTGGGGGAACTCTTGCCCAGCCAAAGCTCTCCCACCTACCCCATCAATCAGATGTTGGTTTTTTTTTTTTTTCTTTTGAAGTTTCTTTGAGAAGTAGAGAGCGAGCGAGCGAGCGAGTACAGTGCCATCCACTGGTTCACTCTCCAAAAGTCTCTGATACTCTCTCTGACAATGACCAAAGCTGGGAGCCCAGAAGTCCATCCAGGTCTCTCACATGAGAGGCAGGAACCCAATCATTTGAGCCATCACTGCTGGCTCCCAGGGTCTGCGTTAGCAGGACCTGGAGTGGGAGTGGAGCTAGGTATTGAACCCAGGCGCTGTGATGGGGGATGTAGGTGTCTTAAGTGGCATCTGAAGCCCTATACCAGATGACCATTTCAGGTTTGTTTTGAAGATTTATTCATTTATTTTTAAGAAAAGAAAGAGCTCTGTTGAGATCCCGTTCACATATCATAAGATTTGCACATTCAAAGTCATAATTCAGTGGTTTCTAGTGTATTCACAAAGGTGCACAAACATCACCAGAATCGAATTTTCCAACATTTTCCTCACCCCAAAAAGAGCTTCCTTGTTTACTCCTTGGGGCTTTGTGTCTCCCCCACCCATAGCCCACAGCGGCCACAAATTTGGTTGCTTCTCTTTTGCTTTTAAGATTTTTCTTTTATTAATATGCATCTCGATCGTATATTTTCCAAAATACTTTCCAGTCATGTCTCAACGATTGTTCCAAAAGATTGCACTAGTCTTTCAGTCAGTTACTGGGCTGCCTTTCAGTTCTGTCTGCCTTCTCTTCTTGAAAGCAATATAATGACTTTGATGGTAATAGATTTACAAATATCAGAAATCCAGTTTTGAAGCATTTGCGCTAATTCTGAACTGGATCAGCATTCTGTGGGCTTTTGAAACAGGCAGCAGTTTGGCTTCTGACTTGCTCCTAATCACACTTCTGCTGAGGAGAGGGGAAGAGAGGGGAAGTGAATGCTGCATTTCTCCACTGGCCCCAGAAGTGCGAATTTCACAAAGGGACACGTCAGAAGTAAACATGCAATGGTGGCTTTAAAACTTTTAACTGCAATATAATAAACAGAGATCAGACACCTACTGATATTCCTCCAAAAGACAAAATGTGAACAGGAAAATAACTCTCCCTTCATTTGCACAGCTTCTCAAATCATGTTAGAATGGTCTCACATTGAAGTCAATGATCAACAGATTTTAAAATAGCAGTAAATGTCTTCACTTTAAGAAAAAGGTTCCCTTTCTCTCCTTCCTCACCCAAAGTATTTAACATGAAAGATTGGTCTTCCTTACATATTAATTTCATATTTATGTGAAGAAGCAATAGCCATCAGTAATTAGGCATTTGTTATAGTTGTTCCCCCTGCCCCCAATTTTTGGCAGTTTCACAAAACCATTATCTAGTGTTGCTATGAAACAGAGACTTTAAATTCTAGGGAACAAAGTCTCTTTCTAAAGCTAATGTTAAGTTGAAATATAAAGCGCAGGGCATTAGACTACATTTCTGGATTTAGTACACTAAAAAGAGGGAAACCTAGGAAAAGTTACTTACTGTTTTGTCGAAGACAGAGACCTACAAAAGCTGATTTGTGGTTACATCATATTTTATACTGTGCATTTGCGGCATCTGCTAGTTAAAGAAAGACCTGCACTGAATCCATCCTTGCCCTGTATCCTAGATCCCCAACCATCTAGGACTCTATACCAAGAGTTGTGGGTATGAGTCCAAGCCGTCACAGACAATCCAGTGGACAGTCAGTGTGATGCACTGGCGTGAACGTGAGCCACAGAGTGCCTGCTGGGCTTCGGCAAAGTTCTGCTGTGGAAGAAAATTGGCAGCCAACTTGTCATTCTTCTCACAAGTAAAATATGCTTGTATCAGTGGCCTTCACGGATCTCTGAGTGAGACCCCAGTGGAAAGAGGCCATCAAAGAAGGAGGTACCTTTCTCTGAAGGGAGGAGAGAACTTCCACTTCACTTATGGCTCTATCTAAATATAATGGAGTTTGTGGACTCAAAAGGCTTCCATAGCCTTGGCAGCTTATGGCAAGAGCCTTGGGTGATCACTAAAGTCATAAATAAGAGTGTTAATTGTTAAATTAACAACAGGAGTCACTGTGCACTTACTCTCCATGTAGGACCTCCGTCATTAATGAATTGTACTATGAGAATTAACAGTAAAACTAGTCTTCAAACAGTACTTCATACTGTGTGTGTGTGTATGTGTGGGTACAAACTGTTGAATTCTTTATTTAGTATAGAGTTGGTCTTCTGTATATAAAGTTAAACTAAAACTGAACCTTAATGAAGAATGGGATGGGAGAGGGAGTAGGAGGTGGGACATGAGTGGGGGTGGAAGGGTGAGCATGGGGGGGAAGAACCACTACATTCCTAAAGTTGTACCCATGGAATTTGCACTCATTAAATAAAAGCTTTTTTTAAAAAAAAGGCAGTCAGGAAATTCCAATTCTAGAGCTTCTGGTTCCTGAGGTGTTACTTGAATGCAGTTCATATAACCACGTGTAGCTTCTGTAATTCCCACTCTCCCACCTGCTCCCTCAGCCGGCGCCTTTAACATCTGAATGAGATACTCCTGGTGTTGGCTGATTTTCTGTAGTAACTGAGGGCTTTCTTTAAACTATCTGTTGGAGCAATCCCAGAAGCAGGGAAGGATTGTGTTGAATAATTTGTCTCATCTGTTGAAACTCAGGCCTCTTCCATAAAAATTCCATAAAAATCAAAGAGATACCCTCTAGAACTTGTTGTTATTGTTTCTGTGGCTGTCCCTGCACCTGCAGCCACTGCTAAAGACTGAGGAGCTCCAGTACCAGTGGCTTGAGGGGCTTGACCACAGTCCCACTTTCTCTATCAGGATCTCAATTAAAGGATACTCCACAACTTAGGGTTGTTGAAACTGGCTCTCAGAGCTACAAGGACTTTCCTCATTCATAGCCCATTGACATCTCAGTCACCATCTTGTCGTAAGTCTGGCCTGACACAAGTGTACTTGTTGCATCGTCAAGAAGGTTTGATCGAGGAACAGTTCCCTGGCTTACTGTCAGCTGATACTGGGCCAGTAGGCGCTGGCATGTCTACCAGCTTTTCTGCAGGTTTCTCTCACGTAGTTGCTCTAGCAGGTGCAGGTTCAGAAGATGCTGTCATTGATGCTGGAACCATGGAGGCAGGCATAGAAGAGGCAGTCACAGCCAGGGCAGGTGTTGGGGCCTGAGTTACAGGGGGTGCTGGGGAGGAACTAACTGCCATGGTGGCAGGATTTGAATGCTGAGTTGTCGCTGTTGATGGTGCTGTCACTGCTCTGGGTTTTGTCACCATTACCACCACAGTACTTTCCTCATCAATTTTATATTCTTTGAGAGCAGTGCCATTAGTGAGGAGTTTGCTGGCTTAAATTAATTGTTGTCCCACTACCAAAAAGGCATCTTCTCCCTTTTCAGATTGAGTTTTCTCTTTCAGTGCTCTCACTGTCTCCTCGGGTTCTGTGTTGATCTGAAAGGCTGCTGCTGGAAGGCCTTCAGGGTGATGCATGTGGTGCGGCTGTGTAGGTCCTCTGCTGGGCCCGTGCCACTTCCTGGCCACTCGCCCACTCACCCTAACCACACACTCTCTCGGGAGGAAGGGGCAGGGTGGGGGCTTCTCCCAGTCACCTTGGTCTATCTACTCATTTATTTAAAAAGAGAGGAAGGGAGAGAGAGATCTTCCATCTGCTGGTTTTCCCTCCAACTGCCCACAACAGTTGGGCTGGGTCAGACTGAAGCCAGGAGTCCGGAACTCCGTCTGGATCTCTCACATGGGGTGGCAGGGATCCAAGTACTTGGGTCGTCATCTGCTGCCTTCCTGGATGCATTGCAGGAAGTTGGATTGGAAGAAGTTTACCCAGGACTTAAACGGGAGCTCTGATATGGGATGCAGGTGTCCCAAGAGGCAGCTTAACCCAATGTGTCACAACACTCATCCCTCAGGTTTGTTTTCCGTGGGCAGATTTGTGACAGGCAGATGTACTGTACAGCAGTGAAACACAGTGCTAGTTGACATCCAGAGTAATGTAACCTAAGGAATTTGTAAAACTCAGGCCTAGTGGGAGGCCACACTTACCATGTTGGCATTGCAAAAATATCTCTTCTGGACAATATTTAAATTACTTTTTTGAAATTCTATTCTTTGCTCTTTTTGGGGTGTGTGTGTATGTATGTATGTATGTATGTGTACCTGAGAGCCATTGTTCTTGGCAGATGTCATGCTTTTAAAAGGATTTTGGAAGCCTATTTTAAAGAAAAACCCAGAGGAGGAAAACAAACATAGCACACAGGAAGTTGGAGGAGCAAGAGCAAACAGCCGTGGAAGGCAGGTAGGGTTGTCCCCTCACCGCCTTCCCATGTATGTTGTCCTCAGGAGCAAGGATAGATCCATCTCATCCAGCCACTCCCATTAATCAGGGCCTGCTGCTTGGCCCATTCCTTCATTGGTTTTTTATATTTTAACTGTTTGAAAAGAATCAAATGACAATTATTTTGTCACCTATGAAAAGTGTATCTGAAAATCAAGTTTCAGTGTCCCTGTCCTCCTCTGAGCTTTCGTTGGCTCCAGCCACCTCCATTTAGCTGCAGACTATCTGTAACTGCAGACAATAGAGTGGAGATAAGAGCAGATGGAGGGGATTGTGAGAGAGGCTATATGGCCCTCAAAGTCTCGCATATTTAATATCTGGTTTTTTAAGATTTATTCATTTGAGAAGCAGGGAGAGAGAGAAGGAGAAAGAAAAGAGAAGACATCAATCCACTAGTTCACTGCCTCAATGACTGCAATGGGTGGAGATGGACCAGGCAGAAGCCAGGAGCCTGGAAGTCCATCTGGGTCTCCTGTGTGGGTGGCAGGGGCCCAGGTACTGGGCCATCATTTACTGTCTGCCCAGGCACATTAGCAGGGAGCTGGATTGGAAGTGGAGCAGCCAGGACTTGAGCTGGCTCTAACATGGGATGTTGGATGCTGACGCTGGTGGTTTAACCCACTCTGTAACAGTGCTAGCTTCTAATGTCCGAGTCTTTAAAGGAACAGTTTGCCATTCCCTGCTTGAAAGCAATGCCCAGTGCTCACACCATGTGTTGTCTTAAAGTGTCATCTTTCTTTGCTCAGTATGCATCCTGGCCCACAGTTCCCATCTCTCACTGCTTAGTTTCTTCCTGTTTGACAAGCGCTCTCTCCGACCTAGTCCCATATGAGTTCATCTGTTACCAGCCATGTGAAGGTACTTATTACCACCCAGGATTGCATTGCTTATTTTCTTGTTTACCACTCATCTCTTCCTCAAGAAGGTAAACTGAGGATGTACATTTTTTAGGGAAGAACCTTTGTATATGTTGTTTTCTGCAGCATTCCACAGCTTTTGATGGTCTCTGGCATGCAGCAGGTGCTCAATAAATACTTGTGGAGTAAATAGATGTGCCATGGGTGGTCTACTTGGCTTTTGTCAGTTTCCTCATCTGAACAAATATGGATGATAACTTTTACCTTGCAGAGTGTATGTGAAGACAATTTGATAACATGTGTGAGGCATTGAACCCACTGCTATCAGTATTGCCTGATGGAAAAAATATGGTTCCTACAATTCAGGTGACCCGGAGTTTAACCTGTTGTTTTGAATTTCAATGACCTAGTGAGCCATTTGACCTCTTTTAGGTTCTACATTCCTCACCTGTAAAATCAGTAATAATACCCACATGTGTCTCCTGGAATTGTTATGGGGAAAAGTGAGATAATGTTTCTGGAAGGACTCAGGAAACTTAAGTTTTATGATGCCATTTGCTACTTCTCCCACTTACTCAGTGCTTCTAACAGCCCCACACCCCTCCCTTGCTGGCTTCAAATGGTGATGCTCCTTGGACTGCTTCTGAGAGTCTGACAGCATCCTGGCTGCTGGGTGCTGCTTAAGTAAATTCAAGGTCATGTAGGGACTCATGTTCCCTTCAGTGACAAAAACAGTGTAGCTCCAACGAAGGGGCATCTAAATAAAAGGTGATTTCACATGTACATACTACATTCGTTGTTTGGTTTTTATCCTTTTCAATTGACAGTACTACTTGCACAGCTTTTGGGGGGTACTTTGCCATAGGTCATTACATGTATACACTGTGTAATGATTGAATCAGGGTCATTAGCATTTCCTTCTGCTTATCATTTCTCTGTGTTTAGAACCTTCAAACTCCTTTTGTTCTTCATAAAATGCACAATAGGTTGTTGCTGTAGAACACTAGACATTACTCTTCATATCCAAGTATATTTTTTTACCCATTATCCAATCTTCCTCCATTCCATTCCTACTTTTCCTAGTTTCTAGAAATCACTACTCTGCTCAACTTTTTAAGCTTCCATGTTTGAGTGAGAACATGCTGTATACTAGGCTGTTAACATTTTTTCTGATTTATCTTTAGTGGCCTTTTATAAGGGGGAGAATGCCCATTAATTAAATTCAGAGATACCAGAATTGCTAAGGGAATTGTTCTGAACACTAGTATCCTGACAAAGAGTAATATAACCTTTACAAAGATATTATTAAAGCAACTTAAAATATTAAAATTGTTCGAAGCACATAATTATAGATTCTGGCTGGCAAAATAATGGCCCCATCTCTTTTGGATAAAGAATCATAAATGGGTTTTAAGGAGTGGGATTGGCAACATAAGTGTCAAAAACAGTAAGGGTGCCAATGGCTATAAGATGTGATCACAGTTTGTATGATAGTATCCTGAGGACCACATATAGAGCTTGGGTTCCAGCCAAGGGATGCTTTTAGTGTTGTTGGTTTTTATTTTCCTTTGAAAGGAAATGGAGCATGATCTCTGTCTCCTGGACATTCTCCGAGTGTTGCAGATTGACATGGATCTAACTTCTATAGGTCAGAGAAGAGAGAGGAGCAAGGGGCAACCACATCTCATTCATATGTGTCTTCCATTATCCATTCCAATAGTCTCTCCCTAGAGAGTGAAGCATGTTGTTAAATGAAGAAGGCAGAACAGAAAGTGAGAGGAGTGAGGCTAAGTAATGAGTAGGAGCAAAACGAAGAAAGCCAAAGCCTTGTGTGATATTCATATTGGAAAGGAGAGGCTTAGCTAAGAAGACAATGGCATGACTCTGAGAAATACAGTCCATTGGGTTGGCTCAGAAAATTAATTTTTGAGTTCTTTAAAATGGAATAAAGTGCTAAAATTTTTCTGCAGGGACAACTCAGTAAGCTGACAGTATGGATGACTTAATGTCTTCCATCTGGAACTTTCTATTTCATTAATTTAAGCACTCAAGAATCATCTTTTACTTCAGTGACCAAATGACAGAATCCCTAGCAATTTCACATCTTTATGTTCCATAATTTTTTTCCTGGGAACTCTCTCTTTAAGGGTATACACTAAAAAAAACACCCAAAACAAGAAACAATAACCAAAACTTGCCTTTGTAGTTATGTATCTTGGAACCACTTAGGCAAAACCAACTGTAGTTAGCTTCATGTCAATGTTTACTTAATAGTCCTTCAAATTATTTCTGATGCTTTGTCATGTGAAATATTGCATTGGTGTTTTACTTTCTCTCAGTACTTCAGATATGAATGTCTATGGGTTATGTATGTACACTACTATATAGAGTGGGAGATAATGCTGAACCCACTCATTTACTACCCACCAGGTGCTGTCTTAGATCCTTGCTCTATCACCACAAATGGGCCTCCAAGCATTTCCTTGGGCAGGGTGACTCTCCATTTTATAGAAGAGGAACCCGAGACTCAAGAAATAGAGTAGCTATGCTCTCTGACTTACAATGGAGTTTTGCCCCAGTAAACGCATGGAAAATTGAAAATATTCAATTTTGTTGAAAATGGACTGATGACACCTAACCTGCTGGACATCCTAGCTCAGCAACACAGGGTACCATACATGTAGTTGTCCACCCTTATGGCCATGGGGCTGACTGGGAGTTGGGCTTGCTGTTGCTGCCCAGCATTGTCAGAGAGGATGAGACATTCACTGCCAGCCCAGGACAAGGTCAGAGTTCAAAATTCCAAATGTGGTTTTCACTGAATACAGATTGCTTCCGTATCATCCTACCTGAACCATCATAAGTTGGAGACCATATGTAATCTGTTGAAAACCTAAGTTCACAAGTGATTAATACAAGGGTTTTAACCCTGCATATTTGAGCAATATGTAGAACATTTTTCAGTGATATTGGGGTGGAGGGATGGAAGCTGGATTTTGTGGCAGATGTAAATACTGATGAGAAGAGAAAGTTAAAAACAGGGCTTTGGTGCTTTCTCATTGATGGATCAACTAGCCTATGAAACCCTGCTGAATATGATTTATTGGGACTATTTCTTAAGACCAGCTATGATTTTATCTTCACTTTTGTGGCTCAGATTTTCATGGAATATGAAAATGGTTACAGATTAGGGAAGAAAAAGACAAAGCCCAAGAGAATACTGTTCTTGAAGAAAAAGGATGATAAGATAAAAGTACAGTGTGCTTCATCGCCATCTTTCACTCTCAAAGTTACTGAGCTGCTAAAGCTATTCTTACTTGTGTCCTGGAAGTTGACATCATTGCCATTGTATGCATTCTTCAGTTTGTTGGTCATCACCCGGAGAGCCATGATCTGCTGTCTGATGAAAGTGTCAGGCCTGGTGATGTCCACGTCCACCTCAGGATTGTTGATCTGGTTTGTTAGCCCATCATTCATAATCTCAGGCAGGTATCTGTAAGGCAGAGAGGAAGAGAACAGCTCAGGACAGTGCAGCAGGGACTTGGAAACCAGATTCTGCCATGTCAGCTTGAACAGTGAGCCAGAGCACTTGGCCAAAAGTGGACATAGTTCTGGAAAACAAATGCCAAATGGTACAAACAAGGAATACATTTTCTGAGGACATGTGGCTAAAATGGCTTCAGACTGTTTTGTTTTTGTTTTTTGAATGACACCGATTTCTTAGGTAGGCTCCTTTATATGTAAATGTTAAATTAGGAACTTAGAGAAATCATTACTTAAAATTAACTACTCATTTCTGCATTCCAAATGTTACAGAGCTCAGGTGAAAGGGGTTGATAACTTCCTCAGTCCTCCTGTTAATTTTTGAATCGAGAACTGGACTTAAAAATTACACACAGCATGACAGAGTTCTCTTCTGTAAGGATTCCCTTTCTAACTCACGAGTCCCTGTCTCAGATTTTCTTATTCTTTTTCTTTTTTAAAGACTTTTACTATAAAGAGAAGAGATTTCATGTATTTCATAGGTACAGTTCTAAGAAGATAACCATGCTCCCCCCCACTTTCCTTCTCTCAGTCCCCCTCCTTCCTTTCTTCCTTTTCTTTCTTTTTTCATTAATTTTTGCATAGACATAATTTCAATCCACTCTATAATCACAGACTTAATCACAAACCATAATATTCAACAAGTAAAAAGTAGGAAGACTACAGTTCCACAGGAGTATAAACAAGGGCTAGAAACAACAGGCATACCACAGGAGGTCCATTTAATTGATATACATTTTTTAATTCTATATTAACTACCACATATCAGAGAAAATATGATATTTGTCTTTTTAGGATTGACTTCTTTCACTAAGCACAATGATTTCCAGTTGTATACATTTTGTTTTAAATGACAGAATTTCATTTTTTAAAAATTTTATTTAAGTTATACAAGTTTCATGTTTTTCATATATACAGATTTAGGAACATAGTGATACTTCCCCCTCTACTCTCCCTCCTGCCCATGTTCCAACACTTCTTCCTCCTCCTCCTCAGATTCCCACTCTTACATTTTTGTAAAGATCTATTTTCAGTTTACTTAATGATTGTATAGTTAACCCCACACTAAGTAAAAGAGTTCAACAAATAGTATGAACAAAAAAACCACTGTTCCTCAATGGAAGAGACAGGGGCTATAAACAATCATTGAATCTCAAAATGTCTATTTCACTCCAGTACATTATGTTTTAGGTATTCTGTTAGTTACCTCAGATCTGGGAAAACATGTGATATCTGTCTTTCTGGGACTGGCTTATTTCACTAAGTATAATGGTTTCCAGTTGCATCCATCTTGTTGTAAAAGATGGAATTTTATTTTTGTTTCATAGCTGAGTAGTACTCCATAGCGTATATATACTGTAATTTCTTTATCCAGTCAACAGTTGGTGGACATCTGGGTTGATCCCATATCTTAGCTATTGTGAATTGTGCTGCAGTGAACGTGGTGGGTATAGATAACTCTTTCAGTGCTGATTTCTTTTGGTTTGGGTAAATTTCCAGGAGTGGGATGGCTGGGTCCTACGGTAGGTCTATTTTCCGATTTCAGAGGTATCCCATACTGTCTTTCACAGTGGCTGCAGCAGTTTAGATTCCGCCAACAGTGGTTAGGGTACCTTCATTTTTAATGGCTGAGTAGTATTCCATAGTGTATGTATACTGCATTTTCTTTATTGAGTCATCAGTTAATGGAGATCTGGGTTGATTTCATCTCTTAGCTGTTGTGAATTAAGCTTCAGTAAACATGAGGATTCAGATAACTCTTTCACATGCTGATTTCATTTTGTTTGGGTAAGTTCCCAGGAGTGGGATGGCTGGGTCACGTGGTAGATCTATTTTCAGATTTCTGAGGCATCTCCAGACTGTCTTCCACAGTGGTTGTACTGGTTCCTACCTCAGATTTTAATCAGAGGAAACTTCTGGATATAAAAAATACCTTTGGCAAGTTTTAGGAGTAACCAATGCTTGTTGGAGTGTTTGAAATGTCAGGGTTTTCAATTTTACAACAGAATGTTGGGTCCAGTTTGGTAGATTTGCCAACACTTGGTGAAGTATCTCTACCAAACTGTCAAAGTTGTCAATCCTTCAGTATCAGCTATCTAAGCTGCCTATGTTTACTTACGTAAGTGGAGGCTAACGGTCTCAGAACCTTGCTTGGAGCCCTCTCTGATTCTTCTTACCCTCATGGCCTGTCAACCTCGCAGTGTTTACTTTTCGCAAAGATTCTCATTCCTGCTTCTGTTCTCCCAAACTGAGTTCTCTCTCTCTCTTTTCCCTTTTGAGTGCATCCTGAATCCACTGTCGAGTGAATCTTCATAACATACCGTTTTTGCAATATCACTATCCTGTTTAAAAACTTCTGAGGTAGCAGCTACTGTCCAGTGAGCACTTAGTAAATGCTAAGCAGTGTGATATGCACTCCACATGCATTTTTAAATTCAGTCTGGAAGCAAGTGTAGCAGATAGGTACTGTTTTATCCCCATTTTATGAAATAGAAAACTGAGACTTAGAAGAAGTAAATTTGTAGGCACAGAGCTAGCAGATGGCAAGCCATAATTTCAGTCTAGTCTAGGTCAGAGTCCCTTAAACACTGGCCCGTGCAGCCTGGTGGATTACAAAGCACAACTCTCGCTTTCTAGCTTAGCACTCAAAGCCCATTTCCACCGAGTTCTACTTTCTTAAGCTGCAGTACTCTCATCAAGGAATTCTTATGTCTTACAGAGTCCATTCCTTTATCTGTCTGCTTGCCTGTTCCACTGGTTTTCCTTATCTAAAATGCGCTTTCTCAATTAAGTCCCAAATACCCTTAAACAATTAGGACAATCCTCCCTTTCTCCTGATGTATTTTTCAGCTTTCAGGATCTGCCCATACTTTAGTAGCCCTGCCAGGTTCCCTTGGGAATTACATGCATTGTAAGCTGAGAGCTGAGGCAGCAAGTAGGTGCTGAAATCCAGTTCATTTCTGCGGTCACCAAGCCGTGCACCTGCAGTGCCTTTTCTTTTCTCTTTTCGGTAATCTTTAATTTTTTTAAGGGGCAGGTGTTGTGGCTCAGCAGGTCAAGCAGCCACTTGGGACTCAGTGTCCCATAACAGAGTGCTGGTTGGAGTCCTCGCTGCTTCACTACTGACCCAGCTCCCCGTTACTGTGCCTGGGAAGCAACAAATGATGGCCCACGTACTTGGTTTTCCACCACCCACATGGGAGACTCAGGTGGAATTTCTGGTTTTGGCCTGGCCCAGCCCCTGCTGTTGTGTGAAAACTTCAGGACTGAACCAGTGGATGGAAGAACTTTGTCTCTCTCACTCTGCCTTTCAAAATAAAGAAATAAATCTTTAAACATATAAAGCCTTAAACAATTTTAATTTTTTATTTATCTGAAAGGCAGAGAAAGATAGAGATCTTCCATTTCTTGGGTCATTTCTCCAGATGCCTACAACAATGGAAGCTATTCCTGGTCACGAAACCTAATCTGGGTCTCCCATGTGAATGGCAGGACCCAAGTATTTGAGCCATCACTTGCTGCCTCTCTGGGTGCACATTAGCAAGAATCTGGAATTGGAAACAGCCAGGTTTCCCAAGCAGCATTTCTTTTTAAACTTTATTTATTAATTTATTTGAAAGAGTTGCCAAGAGGAGAGGGAGAGACAGAGATCTTCCATCCCTTGGTTCACTGCTCAGATGGCCGCAACGGCTAGGGCTGGACTAGGCCAAAGCTGAAGCCAAGAGCCTGGAGCTTCATCTGGGTTTCCCACATAGGTGGCAAAGGCCCAAACACTTGGGCCATCTTCTGCCGCTTTTCCCAGGCCATTGGCAGGGAGCTGGATCGGAAGTGGAGCAGCCAAGACATGAACTGGCGCTCCTATGGGATGCTGGCGTCACAGGTGGCAGCCTTACTTGCTATACTACAGTGCTGGCCCCCTTCCAAGCTGCATCTTAACTGCTGCACCAAACACCTGCTTTGGTGATTGTTTTGTTTTAGAACATTTGAGTCTATATGAAAGCAGAGGCAATGTGTAACAAACTCCGTGTTCTTGTCTGGGTGCCTTTTCCTGATTGCTACACAAAGGTGCTAGATTTGTCTGTGTCCTGGAAAGAAAGAGAAGGCATATTCGCAGTGGGTAACAGAAGTTTCTTCAAGAAGAGACTGTAAAGGTGTGGTCTAGGTTGAAGAAAACCAGAATTGAGTAATGAAAGACCCTGGGGCTGGCAACAGGAGAGGGGATCCAGGAGATGAGACGAGATGTTGTTACCGCAGTGTACAAGAACGGAAACTACAGAAAGCCACCACATGACATAGCAGTGGCCGAAGCATAAGCCGTTGGGGAGGGAGCCAGCAGGAGGATGAGGATACCCGACCTCCAACTGCTGCCTCCCGTTGGCTGATTCCAGCAGGAAAGCAGCAGGCCAAGGAGCCCAGGTGATGCAGCTTACAGAGGTTTGCTCCAGGGCCCAGGCCCAGGAAGGAGGAGAGGGGAAGGGTGATCTTAAGGGGAGTTGCACAGTCAGACCTGGCATCTTCCAGGCTGGTGGGTGGCCCTGCCTGGTTGCTGTTACAAGGGGACTTTAAAAAAGTTTGTCGAATAATGGGATTAAAGGTGAGTTCATTTTGATGCAAAAAAATTTTAATCTGTGAATAATTTTTCATAACAGGCATTTTAGGAACTTTTTGAAGAGCCTTCATATTGTTCTTGTACAATATCCTCATGCTTAAAATTCTTCCCCTACACGCATGCACACCATTTTCCAAGTTCTAGAAACCAAAGGCTCTATCTGTCAGCTTCCAGAGGAGAAAGCACATGGTGGAATTTTGTTACTTAATCCAGTTTTCAAGCATTAAATCTCAGGCGTGAAATATGTGTTTATGAATTGGTTGGCGCATTTTAAATCAGAGGCTCCTCCGTTGGCTCCATGTCTTATTCACATCTCGCCTTCACAGTGTTCATTAAATAAT